CACAAGTTGGGGACCAACCTGAGATAAATATTGGGATTCTCTCTCATTTCTCTCTCTCTCTCTCTCTCTCTCTCTCTCTCTCTCTCTCTCTCTCTCTCTCTCTCTCTCTCTCTCTCACACACACACACACACACACACACACACACAACCACATGCACACGGGGGTGGGGTGCAACTTCCCAGAGGGGGACTTATGAGATTAGAAGAGGCATTGTGGGAACAAGGGAAGCTCCTGAGTCTGGCATTGCTTGGAGCATGAATACCCTGCTGAAAAAGCCAGACGTTTTCATGTGCTTCTGGAAGTAACCCGGACTTTGAGCTACTCTGTGCAGCGCACATGGGAAGCTGGCTCCTGCCTTGCCATGCCCACAACCTTGTGTCATCCCTTCAAGCTCCTGGTCCATCTCAGCATCTGGGCTGTGCTCTCTGAGAGCAGATTAAACAGAGCATGGCCAGGGAAAGAATGGCCTCGGTTGTTTTTCTTTAAAATTTTTTTTTTACTTAGGGGGCCGCTGGAGAGATGGTTCAGAGATTAAGAGCACTCACTGCTCTTGCTGAAGACCCAGGACTGGCTCCTAGCACCCACATGTTGGCTCACAACTGCATGTAACTCCAGCTGTAGGGGCTCCAACACCATCTTCTGGCCTCTACGGACACCAAGTGTTCAGGTGACGCAAGCACATGCAGGTAAAACAGTCACACACATAAAATAGCTAAACACATGATGTCTAAAGATGTTTCCACCGAGAACTAGGGCTGGAGAGATGGTTCAGTCAATAAAGAAATTGAGCAGAAGCACGAGGAGTCAAGGTCAATCTCCAGAACACAGGTGGTGACACCTGTAATCCTAGAAAGAGACCAGGGGGTGCTGGAGGTCATTGGCCAGCTGGTCTTGCCAAACTGGGGAGCCCCAGGTTCAGTTAGCAACTGTCACAAAAATAAGATGCAGTTCAGTAGACAAAGACACACAATATTGACCTCTAGCCTCCATGTTTATCAGTGTATACATGAACACATAGATATCACACACACACACACACACACACACACACACACACACACACACACACACACACTCCCCACCCCTGGCTCCTGGCAATCCCCAAGCCATTTGTATCCAGAAGCTGGGCTTTTTTAGGCTCCCGTGCTCAGTTCAGTGCTCAAACATTTTGGTTTTCCTTTTCCTAAGGAAAGCTGTTCCCGGTGAGTCCAGTTCAGACAGTGTGTGGCCAGCAGAGGGCAGAAGAGCCCCGGAAGATGAGGGGGTGGAGCAATGAGGCCACTTCTGAGCAAGACTTCCTGGAAAAACTCTTAGCTGGCTTCACATTTATAATAGCCACTCTTCTGTCATATTCTTTCCCTTCCCATATTCCTTGCAAAAATTTGTCACTTGGCAGCTGCAAAGGCTCAGGGCTTGGGAAACTCCCAGCAAGTCCGGGCCACAGCCCCCTGTCCGTCTATGTTTCAGCAGCTGGAGGGGATTTAGATGGAAGTGAGGGAGATGGGAAAGGATGTGGCCTGGATGGGAAACTCCCTCCTCAGTGGTGGCCTTCCCCAAGACTGATGCTTCAGGTCACTCAGAACACTGCCAGGGCTGCCACTGAAGAGAATGAGCACCCTGTCACAACAAGTGTGCAAGGAGATGGAAGGCAGGGTAAATAGCTTAACTCCAAAGTTTTTTTGTTGTTTGTGGGTTTGTGTGTGTGTGTGTGTGTGTGTGTGTGAGAGAGAGAGAGAGAGAGAGAGAGAGAGAGAGAGAGAGAGAATTGATTAAGAAAATGACCCTGAAACTGGACTTGGCAGTGAATGCCTGTAATCCCAGCACTTAAGAAGCAGAGAAGGAGGACCAGGAGTTTGAGGCTAACCTTGGCTGCATAGTGTAGCCCTACCTGGGCTACGTAAGACACAAACAGAGACAGGGGGGAAAGGAAAAAATAAAAAGGAGATATGGGGGGGCAAGCCCTGGAGAGATGGCTCAGTGGTTAAGAGTACTGACTGCTCTTTCAGAGGACTGAGGTTCAAATCCTAGCACCCACATGGCAACTCACAACTGTCTGTAACTCCAGTTCCAGGAGATCTGACACCCTCACAGACATACAAATGGGTAAAACACCAATGCACATTAAATAGCAATCTTTTTTTTTTAAAGAAGATATTGGGAGGCAGAGGCAGATGGATCTCTGTGAGTTCAAGACCAGCCTGATCTACATAGGCAGACTCTAACTGAAACCTCATTTGGCTCAGTGTTTGGACATGGAATTCTCAGAAAGAGCATTTTTAAATTGCTGACAATCCAGAGACAGGCCGAGGGGATCCTTCCTAGGACTTGGTTTGTAAAGGCATGGCTGAACAAGCAGGTGCTTCCCTGGGAATGAGCAGAACTACCAAACAATTTTTTAAAGCTAAGATGGCCCTCTGAGCATGAGTGTTTGTGTTTTGCAATCAGAAGAATTTATTCTAGCCCAGGAATTGGTGGATGGTGATCCTCTGCCTGATTTCATAAGGCAGATAAGCCTAAAATGGACCTTACACTTTTCAGCAGTTGAAAAAAATTCAAGATGAGAATAACATTTCACATGTTAAAATTGTGTCCAAGTCAAATTTCAGGGCACACAAACAAGCTGGACTGAAGCAGGGCTGAAGCCGCTCTGCATCAGGCCACGTGACATGAAAAGCATAAGTCTTTTTGTTTTGTTTTTTTGTAACTTGTCTGACTCCTTAAAAGGCTTTTGCTTCCTGCTGGAGACTGTTTAGAGTGGGCAGGAAAGTCTTCAAGGGAGACCCGTCCCCTAATGGTCTGGTCAGGCACTTGTGATTCCAGCCCAGAGTCAATCTCAGCCACACAGCAAGTTCAAGTTCAAGACCAACCTGGGCTACAGAAGACTGTCTCAAAAACCAAAAATAAATAAATACCTGCCCCTTTCTGGTTTTTTGTTCGCTTGCACGTGTGTGTGTGTGTGTGTGTGTGTGTGTGTGTGTGTGTGTGTTTAATTTGGGAAAATGAGCTATGAAATTGAGTGAGGGGTCCTTGGTACCCAGTGAGGTGACATGTGATCAGTTAAGCCTGGTTTTTAAGACCATCCCTGTCACCACAGTGAATTTGAGGCCAGTCAGAGCAACATGGCTCTCGGGTATAGAAAAGTGTGATGTGAGGAGACAGGACCCAGGAAAGCTAAGGGCCTGTGGAGGTAGCACCACCCACAGACCTGGCATGAATACCTCTGTCAGTTCTGAAGGGCAGCCTTTTTCATGGTAGGAGGTTGGTCCGGGACTTAGAACTGAATAATGGGGCAGCTAAGTCTTCTTCACAGCTCAGGTAGGACCCAAATTCCTGACTAAGGCAAAAATTTTGCAAGGACTGACAATGTCCTCCCAAGGCATCTGAGGTGTTCCTAGAAGGGAAGAGCAACCGATACCGCCAACGGGGCTCCCCTCGCCTGCATCCCTTTCCCTGACCAGACTTGTATCTAGAATGCTATCAGTAAGGACCATGCAAACATGAGCTCTTCCAGCGAGGGCAATGCGGCTAACGGGCAAGGGCACCGGCACCGGCACATAGCCTAGGGCCTGGACTCCCACCTCTCACCCCAGGGCTGACTCCCCGGGGTGTCCAGGCTATAAGGAGACCCTGTCCCATAGACAAGCTAGAGAACCCTTCAGGGGCTCCGTGTGGTTAATCCAGTATTAGAAGCTTTAAAAACCTAGATGTCTGCATCTGGAGGCAAAGGCCTTTGTGATGCCCCCTCCTCTTGCTGTTAGAGAGAATGGGTAACTATGACTTAGTCATCCAGAGGTAAAGAAACAGAAAGGTGCATGGGATTGAGTGGTAGAGTTGGGGAAATAAGAGGGGGAAATGGATAGAGGAGAAAGAAAAAACGAAAGGAAGGGAGTAAACGCAGGGGCGTTTTCCAGCTCGCCTTGCCTCCTCTGTCTTTGAGCGGCCAACTTTCTGGGGCCTCATCTTTTCCGCAGCAAGAGGCTTTCGTGGAAGGCCACTCTGCTGCTTTTGAACCTAACCGCGGCGACTAGAGCCTCTAGGATTTTGACAGACCCCGGGTGCCAGCGCGGTGACCCGGCACCTGCCCGCAGGGGGCCTAGAATGTTCCTCCGGGACATTTCACCTTGAAGCCTGCCTCTCAGCCCAAAGCGACTGAGCTCCCTAGCCCGCACTCCGTGGGGTTCAGACCTCTTCTACTCGGGGTGCAGTCTCCCGGGTTCTGCACTCGCTGCCTAGTGGAGCCTGTGTGAGCTGCCCAAGTCACTCAGGCCAAGGAACCGCAGAGTCAGAGACCGCTGCATCTTCGTCTTGGCAGTGACCCGATTCTTACTTCTACTCTGAGATCCTAGGTCGCACCGGAAAGCCGCTAAGGGCAGCCGTGGGTGTGAAACGAGACAGGACCAGCGAAGGATTGCCAGGGACCTTGACCACCGAGAACCGTTTCCTCGGGGAGTCCCATAGATGTATCCTAACTTAAATTTCCAAAGGAAAGCACATTCTTAAACAACAAACCCTACGAAATAAAAAGAAGCCAATTCCAAAGACCAAATCCGGGGCGCGGGGTAGGGGGATGCATACCAACCTCCAAGTTCCAGGAAGTCAGAAAAAATTTCAAAACGAAAGTCCACACGGACATCGAACTAACCAAAGAATTACGGAGATCGGCTCTCCAACGAAAAAGCAACTTAGATATAATCTCTGAGTGTGGGGACCGCGTAATTTTATATCCTCGACGGTTTGTGTGTTGAAGTCAATCTGATGACCTCTTTCTAGCAAAGTGCAGGGGGCGGACGGCAGCGTGCCCAGACCACGCGCTGCCCTCTACGTTCAGGCGACCTCGGCTCAGCGTGATGAATCTGAGGCTGAAGCCGGCCTCCTCCCCGAAGGCCACCGCCACTGCCTCCTTGGCAAACCTGCCTGGAGTCAGGCTCAGAGAAAGAAAATACCAGATGAACGAACCCCATTCGGGGTTCTCCAGGGTATTCCTGGAAAGAAAACTTACCCAGAGCGCCCTGGGAGCATGGCGAACTTGGGGAAGCTCAGAGTTTGCTGTGGACTGGGGAAGGAAATCGGAATCCCAGCCGGGTGGTTGTCAATACCCAGAGGTGAAGCGAGCATTTTCATAAATCTTCCTTGCAGCCACTCGCGGTCTCAAATTCATTTTGCCGAGTAAGAAACATATCGATTGCAAGTGGGAAAGGAGACAAAAAGAAACCTTTACGGTCCGGAGAGGGTTAGAGGGAAGCCCCACTTAGAAGCACCCTGATGCTGGCCACTGACCTGGCCTTGGGCTGCTCTATCTGCCTCGTGGCTCAGGGACCACTTCCCGAGTAGATCGGCTCCAGAATGCCGCCCCTCCTGTGCGCGCTTGGGGAAGAAACTGCGGCTGGAGGTGGTAGGAATCCATCTCACACTCATGCTCTGGGGGTAGGCTGTTTCATCGGGTAACCCATTCCTCTCTTCTACCCGGCACGGCCGGCTGAAGCCCTGGGATCCTTCGGGCTCGCAAGTAGGAAAGGGGACGTTTCAGCTCGAGGGCCCCCTCTTGGCGAGGAAATTGCACCGCCGAGGACCCCCTGCTGCCTGGAGTCCCTATTGCCAGGCCACCCGGGAGGGTGGTTGGTCTGGGGCGCTGAGGTCACCTTTTCCACGGTGCCTGCCTCTCCCAGAGCGGCCAGTTTCCGGGATTTTCGCTTAGGCGATGGCGGGAGGCCCTGGCGGGTGTCCGGTTTAAGACTCAGAGGCTGCACCTCTAGTGGGGACTCCCCTTCTTTCCGTGTCCTCCATGTGGCAGGGGGGAACCCCTTTTCTGGTGAAACCCCTTCCAGCCTGCCAATGCAAAATTTCTAAACAAAGGGTCCCTGACGACGTTTCTTTACATTTTTTCGCCTAAAGGGGGTTTATTCTCAGATTGGCTTTAGGTTCCCTCGGACTTTAAGAATGTACTTGGAAAAGACTGAGCCAGGGGCTCGAGCTGAAAGAGTGTATCAAGGCATAGACTGTCTTTCAGCCTTTGGTGCCAGGCAAAGCTTTTAGCCCTTGGGGGCCTCATTCCCAGCAGGCACGAATCATTGCAGGCATTCGACTGGGCGGCTTGAAACAGCCCTGGCCAGAGTCCAAGGAACTGAGGGATGGGGGGGGGGGCGGGAGAGGGGCACACCTGTGGGAAGGAGTGAGGGTAAGTCTGCATATGTCTCCTGACTCTCCACATCTAGAATTAAGGCCTTCATGTTGAAAATGAGCCCCCTCTGCTCAGCTTGACCTGAAGTGGCTTACTGGCAATAAAAATAGATTTGGTGACTGGGGAATTGACCGTGTGAGTGGTCTTGGTGTCTCAGACTCCAGATTCCAGGGCCAATCTTGAGTTTTTCAAAACCTGCCTGAAACTGGAAGAGGACACAGAGGGTTCAGAGATGGGACAATTCAGTCAGGCTCAAAAATAAGAGGAGAGAAACCAGGGCGAGGGCCGGCTGCCACTAACTCCCAATAGAAACCACTCAGGGCTATGCTTCCAAAGCCCAAGAGGAAGTAAGAGGAAGTGGAGGAGAGGAGGTGGAGGGGCCTGATGCTAAGCCATCTAGGGATGGGCAGAGTGGAGACAGTGGAGGCAGATGGGAGGAGCTTCATTCTGGTGTGGACAGGGGACCACAGAGAGCCGTTTTTACTCCCTGGAGTGCCTGAGCCAGTTTTTGGACTCAATTGTCTTAGAAAGTAAGTAGTTGGACTACCCATCCAGACGAGGGAGCCATCTGGAATTGCTGTGTCCTGAATAGATGATGACTCTCCTCTCTGTCCAGTGAGAAGGAGGTGACTATTGAGTCAACAGAAGTGGGCAAACACTTGCCACCCCATCTCTGAGAGGCCCGCATAGGGTGCAATAAGTCCTAGTAGGTGCCACACTGCCCTTTCTGAAACAGTCATTTTGGCTAGTTGATCATCCCCTCTGGCTCAGAAAGCCAGTAAATAATTAGCTGAGCTGTGGCAAGGGGTTTTCGGGGTCTAGGTCTCACCAGAACATCTGGAAAGGAGTTCTTTGTTCCCTTCCCAGCCCTCATGGACAATGGATTTTGGCCATCTCCTAGTGTCTCAGATGCTGTAGTCCAGGACCTCAGAGGCCCCCTGTCAGCGGGTGGAAGAAATGATTTCAGGTCGGGAAGGAGTTGGGATGTGGGTGTGGTGAACTCAATTTCCCAAGGGTGAGGATGTGGGCTTTGCAGAGACCTCACAGTGGGATGGTAGTGGTCTAAGACATGGAGTCTAGTCCAGAGGCACTGACTGGCACGGTTGGATAGAGTGGAACAAGGGGACAGAACCAAGACTCCAGAGCTGGGCGGGCGGGGAGTGCAGCAACTCTGCTTGCACCCTCCTGGGGGACACCCCGCCCCTTTTGTCACCCTTGAGCCTCCTGTGTGGCACACCACCCCCCCTCCCTTCCCCAAGCTCATACCTTCAGTCCCCACAAACTTCCCCGCAATTGTCAGTGTCTCCTCCAGGCAGGAGACAGCTCAGAAAGTAGCAAAGCCAAGATCCAAGGGCATAAACTCAACAGGGTTTAGCTTGGGATTGGTGAGCTAAAGAAAAAGAGAAAGATGGGAAAGCATCATCCTTAGTCCTGTGAGGGACTGAACCAGACTCTCAGAGCATCCCGTGAATACCCGCCCCCAAATCCATCCAGTGAACCAGACTCTCAGAGCATCCCGTGAATACCCGCCCCCAAATCCATCCAGTAACAGGTTTTCCTTTTTTGTTCCTCCAAACTAAGAACAAGTGAAGCAAGCATTACCCTGTCTGTTTCAGTTGAGGGAACATAACTCAGCGCACCGAGTCTAGTGGTTGCCAAGGAAAATGTGTCCAGGTATGCTTAAATTCGAAACGGAAGGAAATCCTAGTTGGGGAATCTTTTTTCCTCTCAGGGCAGCTTCCAGGGAGTTGAGACCAGAATGGTAAAGTGAGATTGAGGTGGACAGTGAAGGGTGGTGGCGCCGAGATGTGGTGACCACCCTGCGAATTACACCTCTGTGTACAGCGCGCCTCGCCCCTATAGTATCCCCCTTTCCTGGGAAGGCTGCTTAGGGTTACCCTTGTCCCTGATGAGCCGCAAAGCTTTTGCCCCTCCCCCTCCTGATTTCTCCAGCCCCTCCCCATCCCACCCAGTCCCGGGCCTTGCTGTTCCGCCCTCCCGCACCTCGGGCTCTCCCTCTTTAGGTCTCAGGACACTCTGGTCCACGAGTCGTCTTGAACACTTTCACATCCCTGCATGGAATCCTGTGCGGTGCTTGCGGTCTGTCACCAGATTCCTTCTCACCTCTCACTCATGGTCCCTGATTTCGCCCATCTCCGCAGTGTCCTGTCCCCGAGGCAGTCCTCTTGGTGCGCTCCGCTCATTCTCCCTTGGTGCGGTCCCGCCAGCCCACAACCCAGGGTTCTTTCCCTCCAAACCTCCTTTGCTCCCTCCTGGCTCCCTCCCTCCGGCGGGGCCTAGGGGGTGGGGGGTGGGGGCGGCGGCGCGGGGCGGGGCGGGGCAGGACGGGCGGGGCGAGGCGGTGACGCGGGGGCTGGCCGGGCTAGAGGCGCGGCGGCGCGGGGCGGGGGCGCAGTCCCGGGTCCGACTGGCCGAGCCCCGCGCGCCCCGCCCGCGCCCTGCGCCTCCGCCCGGCCAGCCGGCGGGGGAGGGGGCATGAGCCGGCGCCCGCGCGCCGCCGGGAGCTGCGGGCCGGCCTAGAGCCCCGCGCGGGCCCCGCGCCCGAACCCAGCCGCCGTCTGCCTGGCCGCGGGCGCATCCGCGGGAGCCGCGATGCAGCGGCCCGGAGAGCCGGGCGCCGCGCGCTTCGGTCCGCCCGAGGGCTGTGCTGACCATCGACCGCACCGCTACCGCAGCTTCATGATCGAAGAGATCCTCACCGAGCCGCCTGGGCCCAAAGGCGCAGCGCCCGCGGCCGCGGCCGCTGCCGCGGGAGAGCTGCTCAAGTTTGGCGTGCAGGCGCTGCTGGCCGCTCGGCCCTTTCACAGCCACCTGGGTACGTGCAACGGGACTGGGCTTGACGGGAGGGTGGGAGTCGAGCCACAGGGCTGCCCGGAATCCATCCTCCTTCTCCACTCTCTTCCTGGAGCGACCTGGGATGCAGGCCCCAGGCACATCTCTTCACACACTCCAACTGGGAAATAGAGGCACGGGCAATGGGCTGCGCAGAAACCGGGCCTTATGTCCCCGGGCCAGGTCAAAAGAGAGTTTTGTCCTCTGCTGCGGGGCAGCTTCGGGTTTTCCGATCGGGTGATAGGCCAGGGACTAGAGCCCGCATCCCTATCAGTAGCAAAATTAGCCAACCGATCGCTCTGGCTCAAAATGACTTCAGTCTCGAGAAGCCGGAGTTTCGCGCTAGAGGGTTGAGGGCTTGCAGTAGCTGCCCAGACCTGAGAAAGCTGAGTCCTCTGGAGAAGAGGGTCAAGTCCCCAAGTGCTGGGTGCTGACTGTGGCCCATGCCATCCAGGAGCCTCTCAGAGTCCGCGACAAACCGAGGCCTCTGCTGCAGCCAGGATCTCCCTAGGCCTTGTTTGAGGGAAAGAGGCCTGGTTGTGAGCCGCTGCCCGGCTGGCTCTTCCACTTCGAGGTCAGCTGGGCTTCCAAGCGTCTTGAGTCACTGGCTCAGACCTTTTCTGTCTTGATCTTGTCTCTTGGAGGGTTGTGGGGAAACCTGTACTGTTCTGCCTGCCTTCTCCATCTGGGCTTAGGGCTTGTACAAACTCTCTTCGGTTGACCTCCGTCAATTCCTTTGGTGGAGTTGGTCTGTCTCCCCTCTCCCGGCTTCCTCCTAAGATTCTCTTCCCACTCCTTACTGTCCTCCCGATGCTTACCTCGCCCTGACGGGTCCCTTTCTCGGACCCTCTCCTTAACGAGAAGCCTACCAGGAAATGAAGCCTCCTACATAGACTCCAGCTCGGCTAGCGGGATTCAGAATCAGCACCCCCCCTGGTTTGTCCTGGTGACCGTCGGTCCAGTTTGCCTGTTTGAGGTTCACCTGGTTCACAGCCTCCTCTGCCTTCCACTGGCAACGGTTCTATTGTTGATAATTCGTTTGAAGCGGGCAAATAACCGGTTTAAGACTAGAGAACATAGAATATCTTCACGGAGTTCTTGGGGGGGGGCTGAACAGAGAAAACAAGAAAGACAATTTTGGGGCTCAAAGGATGCTTTGGCGACCCTCGGGGCCTCAGTTGGCCGTTGTAAATTGCAACACGATGCCCGAAAAAGCAAATGTTCACACTTCCACCGCGTTCTTTTCTGAACACAAAGCCCCCCTTCCGAATTCACCAGTTTTTTCCCGTTGGTTTCTCTTTTTCACAAAAGACGTACTCTATGTCCTCCAAGCGGCGAACTTGCTCTTAAGAACCTGAAAATATCGGTGGCAGCTGGGGCATGGAAACGCCAGAACAGAGCGCATGTTTGAGTGAGGGATACTCCGTTCTAGACTTGCCGGAACACCTATGTCGAGGAGTGTCTCCCAGGACCGGTGGCTTGAGTTCTTGTTCTCCTCAGGGAGTGGTGGGCTCAGACTGAGCTCAGGCACCCAGGCGTCACAAAGTGCCGAGGTCTCAGAGGCTCAACTCCAGCTCACCCGGATCCTTTCTTTTCTCCCCTCTGCAGCGGTGCTGAAGGCTGAGCAGGCCGCTGTGTTCAAGTTCCCGCTGGCACCGCTCAGCTGTTCCGGGCTGGGATCGGCGTTGCTGGCCGCGGGGCCTGGGATGCCCGGCACCGCAGGCGCATCGCACCTGCCGCTGGAACTGCAACTCCGCGGGAAGCTGGAAGCAGCGGGCTCTGGGGAACCGGGCACGAAAGCCAAGAAAGGACGCCGGAGCCGCACTGTGTTCACGGAGCTGCAGCTGATGGGGCTGGAGAAACGCTTCGAGAAGCAGAAGTACCTCTCCACCCCTGACAGGTAGTGTAGGTCGAGGCTGGGCTCAGGGGACGTTAGGCCGGTGGTCAGCTGATCTGCTAAGGGTGTACGTTGCTCTTTTCCAGAATAGATCTAGCTGAGTCCCTGGGCCTGAGCCAATTGCAGGTGAAGACGTGGTATCAAAACCGGAGGATGAAGTGGAAGAAAATAGTGAGTGTGGCTTGCGGCTTGCGGTGTGCCGGGGTTTCCTGGGCATTGTCCCCGTTATCCTCCAAGAACTGTCTCCCCACCCTCCTCACACTACGGTCAGGCCCACCCAGTGCACTCCGCTCTTTCTGTTCGGGTTCACTATGGTGCTCATATCCCTTCCCTCCCACCGCATGCATCCTTGGCGGTCTCTAACTCCTACACCTTGGGTTCACTCTCTCCAGCAGCGCTTTAACTTTAGGATTTGGAGTCAGTCATTGGTGACACCTTGGTTGGGGCCTCTGGTTCCACCTGTGCCCTGGGCACCGGGTGGCCCTTGGTCTGATTCACACCTCACTCTAGTACTGTTCATTCTCGGGACAGGTTCTGCAGGGTGGAGGCCTGGAGTCCCCTACCAAGCCCAAGGGGCGGCCCAAGAAGAACTCCATCCCCACGAGCGAGCAGCTCACAGAGCAGGAGCGTGCCAAGGAGGCAGAGAAGCCAGCCGAGATGCCAGGCGAGCCCAGTGACCGGAACTGCGAGGACTGAGCTCCGTCAGGGGTGCGGCACAGTCGGCGGGAACCCAGGAGCTGGCCCTTTCGTGCCCAGGCCGTTTGCTTTCGAAACATTTCATTGCTACTTTGAATGTGGACAATTTGGGGCCAAACAAGGAAGGACACAAGCCTGGAAGCCAAGCCCAGGTCTCAGCGAGCTCCTGTCTCTGCCCCCAGTCTGGGAGAGTCCAGCATGACCGAAGCTTCTTAGAGCTCCGAGTGCCCGGTGCTCCACGCACACTCACGCCCCACTCCTTGCCCACACCCTTTCCCTGCCTCCAATCGGCCTTCTGGGCCCGGACACTGGCAGGAACACACCCGCTTCCGCGCCTTGGGGACCGAGCCTCGGGGTGCAGGCCTCTGAGGCCCTGTCCTGCAGAATCGGCTCCTGGAAGACCTGGCGAATCAGCTGATGCCCGGTCCCAATGTCGCTGGGGTTTCTACCCACCTCTCAAGAAGACGGTGACTTGTTTTTCCAATAAAATATTTTATGACACAGCGGGGGGCTTGATGGTGGACTTCTGAGTCCACGAGGGATGGAGGGGTCTTCGAGGGATGGAGGGGTGGTGAGGTAGGGAGGGCACTGGAAATTGGAACATCCTCCCCTCAATGGAGGCTCAAGTACTGCAGCAATTAGGTTACTTCGGAATAAACACTGGGTGTGAGGGACCAGGATGGACTCTTCCTTCCCAGCTGTGTGTGTGTGTGTGTGTGTGTGTGTGTGTGTGTGTGTGTGTATGTTGGGGGCTGGCGGTCACCATCAGTGGTAGCAGTAGGCCACCAGTCCAGAAGTGTCTCAGAGCCCTGAGCATTTTAAGCTGTTGATTAGGTCTCCTGGGACTTGACCTCTGCGGTCCTTACGATATTTCTGGCCAGCTCTTTTGAGGTGGATGGGAAGCCCAGTGTGTCTGAGGCAATCGGGCATAACTCGGCAGGGAATGCCTACTGGTGCCTCTCCCAACCCAAAACGTCTCAGCTGTTTGTCCTTGGGGAGGGGGACTGGCCATATAACTTCTGTCTCTGTGGTTGGGGACATGGTGACCACTGAATGGAAATATAGCTAAACCTCAGCTAGGTGACACAGCTTGACCATGCTCTTCCCGACACACTAGCATTCAAAGCCAGGTCCTCTCGGGGTTCCAAAGCTGGGAGGTTTGGGGTGGTGGTTGTTTTAAAAAGGGGTCTCACACTGTACCCTCACTATCCTGGAACTTGCTATGTACACTAGGCTGACCTTGAACTCACAGAGACTCACCTGCCCCTGCCTCCCAAATGCTGGCATTAAAAACATTCATACCATGCATGGCAAGTTTAAGAATATGATGGTCACCCATGTTGATAACTGTCCTCTTTATTTTCAAATTTTTGTATTTTCAAGTGTTTGTGTGTCTCTCCGTATGTGTTTGGGGGTGTGGTATGTTCACCTGAGCACAGTTGCAGGCCAAGGACAGTCAGAGGTGTCAGATTCCCCTGGAGCTGGAGTGAGGGGCAGTTGTGAGCCCAGGGATGTGGGTACTGGGAAGCAGAACTGGGGTCTTCTGCAAGAGCAGTGTTCACGATCTCAACCACCACCGGGCTGCTTCTCCAACTCCAGACTTTGCATTTCTGACCAGGTGGTCCCTTCCTAGAACCCAGTTTGAACTTCTCCCAGGAATTTCCGGGGTCTGGAGAAACTAGAACCCACATCTGTGAGGGTTTTGCAAGAGATTTTCTTCAGCACCCCAGTTGTGCTAGGTCTTTGAGAGATTGTCTTCTCTGGCTCCAGGGTCTTAATTCACCCTCACCAACAGTTGTAAAACGAAAAAGAAAGAAGGCTGCAACCCTAGTTG